TCTACTTATTAAAGGAGGAGGAGGACAGCTTCTCTCTCTATCCACTAGCTCTGCACCAGGCACGATTTCGTAGGCCTTGGCCTTGTTGCCCATCCGTTGCCTTTATTCTAATCTAAATGTTTGGAAGACCCTTATTTTAAGGGTTAAAGTAACCAGAGAGATCATGGGGATTGGTAAATAGAAAATAAACAATAAGAACTGTGGTATAATTAAGAAAAGTCAGTTCAGTTTTTTTCTTTTCCAAGTGTTTGATAAATATTAATACATTTCTGTGAAATCACATGGACAAGAAACCCTTCACCAATAAGAATAGTCCAATGACACAGTACTCGTATCTATTGCAGGTGTCTGCCTGGTCTTCTCCACCTCAATCCAATGCAAATAAATGAGAAGAAGAGATGGGATTTATACCCCGCCCGTCACTCGGAGTCTCAGAGCGGCTTGCAAAATCCTTTCCCTCCCCTTCCCCCCAACAGACACCGGAGGGAGGCGGGGCTGAGAGAGCTCTTTCGAGGACTGCCCTTGAGAGAACAGCTCTGACAGAACTATGGCTTGCCCAAGGTAATCCAGCAGCTGCAAGCGGAGGAGTGGGGAATCAAACCCGGGTTATCCCACATTAGAGTCCGCGCACTTAACCACTACACCAAACTGGCGCAGTAGCCAGTAAAACGTTCCCTGTGCCTTTCTATTTCTTGTATTCAAGTAGTACAAAAATTCACGATTCTGCAGCTTCTTCAAAACCCTGTTTCGATAAGTTTCCTCGTAGGCATGAATAGCTATAGTAAAGTCTACACGCATTCTGCTCTGAGGAAGAAAAAAACTGAACTGACTTTTTGTAATTACATCACAGTTGTTACGGTTTATTTTCCTTATTTTAAGGGAGCAGCCATAACACAAAATAATCTTTTTGGGGGTGGGTGGTGGGTGGGAGAGGGGGACTGTCTCCTAATGCGCCAACCACATCTGCATCTCTTTGGCACAAAGACTTCTGCAAGGAGCGTAATAGCCTGGAAGAGAGCGGGTCCTTGGGGCGGTCATAGGGGACGCCGGCACCCAGTGGGTGGTGAAAGGGGGGCAGGTGAGGCCAAGGAAGGAGGGCCGCTTCCCCCAACCAGATTTTGACAGTGGGCCGAGGGACCCAAACTCACTTCCTGTTGCGCACTTCCGTCAGCTCCATGAGCCGCTCCTGCGCCGCGCGCAGCTCGTCCAGCCGCTGCTGATACCGCGAGTCACAGTTGTTGCTGTGCTCGAAGCTGGAGACCTGGTTGGAGAGCTCGCTGGCCCGGTCCCGCAGCTGCTGGATGGAGGAGTAGAGGTTCTCGTCGTCTTCTTCCTGCAAAGGGGGCGGGGGAAGCAGAGGAAGCTGTGTGGCGACTCGAGAGCTGGCGGGAGGAGGACGCTGTGATCCCCAGCCATCTTCTGAAAGTGGCTTAAAACCCTACTATTCCTTTCCTCTCCACCGCCCCAACCTGCTTGCTCTCCCCCGCCCTGCAAGCAGTGTTCCCTCTAAGCGGAGTTAGTGTGAGCTAGCTCACAGTTTTTTAGCCTCCAGGTCACACATTTTTCTCTTAGCTCAGGAAGGATGGGGTTCCAGAGCAATGTTCCCTCTAAGCCGTGGAGTCTTGTGAGCAAAAATCCTACTTTGTGAGCTGCTGGCATTAAAGTTGTGAGCGAGCGATTTGACTACTGCGTCAGTCAGTTTGCTCTGGAGCCCCGTCCTTCCTGAGCTGAGACAAAAACGTGTGAGCTGTGGGCTAAAAAACTGTGAGCTGGCTCACACTAACTCACCTTAGAGGGAACACTGCTCCAGAGCAAAATAATTTATGCAGCAGCCAAATGGCTCGCTCACGGCTTTAATGCCAGTAACCCACAAAGTAGAATTTTTGCTCACAAGACTCCACAACTTAGAGGGAGTATTGGCTGCAAGGACTATCCAGATGCTAGGCTGCCTCTCGGGCAAAAAGGGTCATCCATGACTGGTAATGTGCTCCATCAGGGCTGTGGCTCTTCACAGGAGCATGAAAACACTGACCAAAGGAGAGAGGGTCACAGAGCTTGTGTGCAGTTCTGGTCACCACACCTCAAAAAGGATATTATAGCATTGGAAAAAGTGCAGAAAAGGGCAACTCGATTGATAAAAGGGTTGGAACACTTTTCGTATGAGGAAAGGTTAAAGTGCTTGGGGCTCTTTATCTTGAAGAAATGACGGCTGAGGGGTGACATGATCGAGGTTTATAAGATTATGCCTGGGATAGAGCAGGTCGAGAAAGAAGTCCTTTTCTCTCTTTCTCACCATACAAGAACTCGTGGGCACTCCATGAAACTGCTGAGCAGTCGGGTTAGAACGGATAAGAGGAAGTACTTCTTCACCCAAAGAGTGATTAACACTTGGAATTCACTGCCACAGGAAGTGGTGGTGGCTACAAGCATGGACGGCTTCAAAAGGGAATTAGATAAGCATATGGAGCAGAGGTCCATCAGTGGCTATTAGCCACAAGGTATAGATAGGGACTCTGGGGCAAGTGATGCTCTGTCATCTTGGTGTGGGGGGGGGTCAACAGTGGGAGGGCTTCTAATGTCCTGGCCCCACTGGTGGACCTCCTGATGGCACCTGGTATTTCTGGCCACTGTGTGATACAGAGTGTTGGACTGGATGGGCCTTTGGCCTGATCCAACATTGGCATCTCTTATGTTCTTATGATGGGCCATTGGCCTGATCCAACACTGGCTTCTCTTATGACCTTATGAACTCTCAGGCTGGGGCAAATGATGCTCTGTATTCTTGGTGCTTGGGGGGGGGGAGGCAACAGTGAGAGGGCTCCTAGTGTCCTGGCCCCACCGCTGGACCTCCTGATGGCCCCTGCTATTTTTGGCCACTGTGTGACACAGAGTGTTGGACTGGATGGCCTGATCCAACACTGGCTTCTCTTATGTTATCCCACAGTTTCTTCGGTCTGATGGTGTTCCTCCACCTGAGACCGTTGTCCTCACAGCCTACGGGCTGGAGCAAGGAACGCTCTGACCCTCCTCGTTTCCCCAGCATCTTTCAACACTGCATGGTGAGCTGGGCCTACTCAATAATGCTTCCCGAACTCTCGCAAGATGTAAGGCTTTGGGAAGCCCTCCTGGGCCTCGTTTCAGAGGGTAGAACTGCTAGAATCGACTCCAGTGAGCACCTTCGAGAACAAGAAGATTCTTCGGAGGGTGTGAGGTTTCGGGAGTCGATGTTCTGACGAAGGAGCTTTAACTCTCAACAGCTCGTCTCCTCCCCCCATCCTGTTGCTCTCTAAGGTGGACCTGGAGTCAATTCTAGCCGTTCTATTGGGCATATTTATTTAATCTCAGAGGTGGAAGGCACACCCAAAGTCATCGAGTCCAACTCCGTGCCAATGCAGGAACTATGGACTTGCACTATTCATGGACCTGTACATCATATGACGTAGTTTGGTTTTACTGATACACGTGGTCCTCGGTTATTCTTGTCATACAAATTTACTCTTTTTGCACAACTTTTTGAGCACTTGTGGTCTGCATTATTTGTACAGTGCTTGCTTGCTTTCTGTATATATTGTATACTGCGATATCGCATCTGTTTATAGAACTATAATATCCTCAGCAAATTGGCATCTAATTGATACATAAAAGGGTGAAGAATCCCCCACCTGAAGAAAAGAGATTGGATGTATACCCTGCCCTTCACTACCCAAAGGTGTCTCAGAGCGGCTTACAATCTCCTTTCCCTTCCCCTCCCCACAACAGACACCTTGTGAGGCTGAGAGAGCTCTCTCGAGAACTGTCGAAGAAGAGGAGGAAGAGATTGGATTTATACCCCACCCTTCACTACCCAAAGGAGTCTCAGAGCGGCTTACAATCTCCTTTCCCTTCCCCTCCCCACAACAGACACCCAGTGAGGTAGGTGGGGCTGAGAGAGCCCTCTCGAGAACTGTCGAAGAGGAAGAGGAGGAGGAGATTGGATTTCTAGCCCGCCTTTCACTCGGCGTCTCAAAGCGGCTTACAAACTCCTTTCCCTTCCCCTCCACACAACAGACACCCTGTGAGGTAGGCGGGGCTGAGAGAGCTCTTTCGAGGACTGTCCTTGAGAGAACAGCTCTGAGAGAACTTGTGACTGACCCAAGGCTGGTCCAACTGCAGTGGTGTTTATAATTATTTGATCACAGTTAGTTACAGGTTTCTTTGTTCTTCCTCCTGTTTTTTTTTAAACCCTGTGTGGCCGTTCAGAGACCAGCTGTGTTACTTTTTAAAGCTTTTTTGGGGTGCTTCTGACTTCTGGTGCTGCCTGACTTCTGAATGCATCTGACTTACCTTGGCATTGACTATTTCGATGTGGATCAGCAGGGCAGCAAGTTCGAGGTCTTCACTGTAGCTGTTCTTCAGAGGCACTGACCTGTAACCTGGAGGAGGAGGAGGAGGAGGAGATTGGATTTCTACCCCGCCCTTCACTTGGAGTCTCAGAGTGTCTTACAAACTCCTTTCCCTTCCCCTCCCCACAACAGACACCCTGTGAGGTAGGCGGGGCTGAGAGAGCTCTGAGAGAAACTGCTCTTTCAAGAACAGCTGTGCCAGAACTACGGCTTGCCCAAGGTCATCCAGCCAGGTGCAAGTGGAGGAGTGGGGAATCATACCCGGTTCTCCCAGATTAGAGTCCGCGCACTTAACCACTACACCAAACTGGCAGGGATACATGAGGGCCAAGCAAACAATATTTATGATGGTGTACACATTAGTAAAAGATAAAATAGCTTAAAAGGGATGATCCAAATATCAGACTCTTAAAACGTTTTGCACACAGAGCTGATAGTTCTACATATACAATTGATGGGTATATCTTATGACCAGTAGACCATATGCGTTTCGGCCCCTCCTCAGTGGTCAAGATTACTATTGTAAAACATCTTTCCAAAGGCTTCCAAAACCAGACAAGACCCAGCATCCAGTGCAGGAGGCCACGAATGAACACACATGAAGCAGTGTGTATACTGAAATCAGTGTGCATTCTAAATCAGACAACTGGTCCATCAAAACCAGTATCATCGACTCAGACCGGCTGTGGCTCTCCAGGGTCTCAGGCAGAGGTCTTTCATACCGTCTCCTACCCGGCCCCTTTAACTAGAGATGCCGGGGTTTGAACCGGGGGCCTTCTGCATGCCAAGCAGATGCTCTGCCACCGACCCCCATAAACGAGAGTGGAACAAATTAGACACAAGCACAAGCTGCGTGGAACAGAAGAAGGCGGCCTGAATCTGACCACCAGCCCCTCGACTCCAGGAGAGCCACATATCAGGGTCTTCCCCGACCCCACGGACTTTTAGTGAGAGATGGGGGGCGGGCGGTGGTGGACGTCTACCTGTCCTGAGGCTCTTGACGGGGAAGGTGGCCTGGGCCAAGAAATTGGGGTCGCTGAACATGTCCTCCTCGTAGACCACAAAACGCAGGAAGGCAAACTCGGGGTTGTTGATGTCGAAGACGAACTGCTTGACGAGCCAGACGGGGTTGAGGCCGTTGTCAGCTGACGCGGGGGGGGGAGGGAAAGAAACACGGTGAGAGTGGGACGCAGGACTCGGAACCCAAGCAGGCGACTTCCCTGCCATTCGGATACGAATTGGAACAACGCACGCTTGGGAAACGAATACCCAGCACCATGAGGGCTGTCATGTAGAAGATGGAGCAGATCTATTCCCTCTCGCTCCGGATTGCAAGACTAGATCTAATGGGTGGAAATGACAAGGGAATCGATACCGGCCAAATATCAGGATAGACTTCCTAACTGTCAGAGTGGCTGAGCAGTGGAACAGTCTGCCTCGGGAGGTGGTGGATGCTCCTTCGCTGGACGTTTTCAAGCGGAGGCTGGAGGACCCTCTTTCGAGTCTGTTGTGGGGCTGTCTTTCAGCTGTGCTCCTGCAGAGTGCAGGGGGTTGGACTAGATGACCTGCAAGGTCCCTTCCAACTCTAACGTTCTATGATTCTATGAGGCTGCTGGTTTGAAAGTCGGGTCAGGGAACCGAAACCCAGTTGTGAAAAATGATCATCTCTAGCTTGGCTCTGATGCATAAAAAGATTTCCCCCCAACATTACATATTTATTTAGGTCATTTAAACTCGGCCTTCACTTGGACTCAAGGCAAATTCTGCCGCGTAAGCCAATACAGTCCACAGGATGAGCCGTTCAACAAACAGTGCCATAGGATTAGGGTCGCGGAACCCACCAGGACAGAACTAAAGCCAGGCGTTCAGTATGAACACGACACATTAAATGATGCCAAAATTACACAGTGGGATTGTAGTTTCAGCACAGTGGCACACTATTGTATAGACCTCAGTCCCTAGCAATTTCTCTAAGTAAGATCCACCAAGATTCCAAGCAGATGCACCAGTGTTACTGGAGACTGTCACTGGCAGTCTTCAAGCAGCAGCTGACCAAACCCTTGTCAGGGATGCTCTAGGCTGATCCTGCGTTGAGCAGGGGGTTGGACTAGATGACCTCTGTGGGACACCCTTCCAACTCTGTGATTCTATGAGATTCTGGGACTGAAACTCTTGCATCCAAAGCAGGTGCTTTACCATCGGTTCTCCCTCCTGAAACCTCCCATAGTGTTAACGTAAAGGTAAAGGTTTCCCTTGCTCGAAAGCCAGTCGAATCTGATTGTAGGGGGCGGTGCTCATCTCCATTTCCAAGCCGAAGACCCAGCGTTGTCTAAAGACTTCTCCGTGGTCATGTGACCGGCATGACTAAATGCCGAGGCGCACGGAACGTTATTACCTTCCCACTGAAGCGGTACCTATTGATCTACTTGCAATTTCTTGCTTTCGAACTGCTAGCGTTACCCATCGGAAG